TTGATACCTGCCTTGAACGGAGTAACACGCCCTAGATGCAGCCACATCCTCATCACCGCTAACTTCAATGTGCACGATACTGTAATAGCAGCATCTCCTAATGAACAGTTCGTAACAGATTTTCAGGAACTTATCTCAAATATTCACTTATATAATCATGTCACATCACCCAGTAGATACAGAAAGGGAAACAAACCATCGATGTTGGACCTTGTATTCACAAATGAGAAACTCTTGATCGACAACTTATTGCTGGAGAGTCTATTAGGTCTCAACGACCATGTAGTAATAAGGTTAACTTTTGTTTGTTATGTCGAGTATCCATCTGCATACTTTGAGTTAACTCATACGATCACAAGCTACCACGTCTGGAAAGAATTCGTCGACGTATTCCCTTGGGAATACCCGAATAACAGTCCCCTTGACAACATTTGGAGAAAGCTCGCTGAAAGACTGTGACATGGTCAAAAGAGCACCAGAGATCAACGCACTTCGTTTCACAAAAGTACCACCGATTCTTAGAAGAAGGATTAAAAATTACATGGTGATAAGGGATGTAGAATGGCGCGCTTATAAGGCTAATTTAGACTCAGAGACTTAGGGCAAATTCCGGACTCATCGAAACAAATGCACCGCACTGCTCCGTGAGGACGAAGTACTTTTTCAACAGTGTCTAGCCAAAAGGTCTCTAGCCAGCAACAAACTACTGTATAGGCATCCCTCCACTTTTCACAGCAGGCGGTAGGATAGAAAGCACCGACGAAGCAGCCAATGGCATGCGGTTACAATACGCTTCGATTTTCGAACTCGCAGCCTGCCCCTGTCACATACTATTCACATTACCGACTTCAGAGTATACATGTGTAATTTTAAACTCGGTAACTGTGCTAGCAAAGTTACTGTCATTTAGCGATCAAACCTCTCAGGGAGCCAACAACATCCACCCGAAAGCACTGAAAGTTGCGGCCTCGAAGCTAGCCGAACCTTCACAGTTCCTTTAGCAATACTTTGAGGAACAGCACGTCCCCACTGTATGGAATTATGATATTATTACCCCAATTTTTAAGGGCGGTAACCGTTCAGAACCTGCAAACTATCGCCCAGTGACCCTCCTCCTTGTGCTCGTGAAGATGTTGAATGCAATTGTCGCTGAGAAGTTAGTTGACTACCTGGGAAAATGCAACCTCATGTAACCGGAGCTGTATGGCTTCCGTCAACACTGGTCATGAACTGTTGATGGCAAGAAGTAGTTGGACGGAAGTGGCTGATGGTCAGGTCGGAGTCGACGTCATCTATCTGGACTTCGCCAAAGCTTTCGACAGACTGGATGACCGAATCTTGCTACACGGGCTACCGAGCTATGGAATCGGAGAACATAATCTTAGTTGGATTGTAAACATTTTTCAACAATAATGGCTCCAAATGCATGTTAGGTGATTGCTTTCCAACTCGATTGTGTTGGAATTTGGAGTTCCACCGGGCTCGGTGCTGGTACCGCGCTTCTCCCTGGTGTTTATCAAAGACCTGACATGAGTTACCTGCTCCGATTTCCGGCTTTTCCCCCACGATAGTAAAACCTGGAGAGAGTTAAATAACAAGGAATATCACGATTCCCTCTGATATAACCTGGATTTCGTTAAGGAATGGTTAACGAGGAACCTACTCCGGTTCGACACAGCTAAGTGCAAGGTGTTCCACCTGAGTTAGCAGCCTGGGAACGTTTACACGCTTGAAGGCCACACTTTGCAAAAGGCTTCTCAGGAGCGTGACATAGGTGTACTTGTACCAACGATCTCGGATGCTCATAGCAAGAAGAGAAGGCGTCGAGAACCGGTACTCAACACCGGCATTCTTCGCAGGCCGTTAGATCGGTTTGAACCCTCAATCTTTCCACAGAGATTTAACAACTAAGTGCGACCTCATGTGGAATATACTATCCAGACGTAGTAGCCGTGGCAGCAGCAGGATAATGTTGCCTTAAAGACTTCTCAACGAAAGGCAACCAAGAACGTGAGAGGCCTCTTCCATCTGCCCTATCAGCTTAGATTGAAGTCCCTACAATGCACTACAGTCAAAATCGGCGTTTGAGCGGGATCCCATAATGATTTACCAGGTTCTGAAGAAACCAGACCACATTTGTCGACCGTTACTGGAATTGAATCACAACACTAACATAAGAGATCATCATCCGAAACTGACAATACTGTATGGCCGGCTGGAATGCCGCAGAAATTTCTCCACCCTATGAGCAGATAAGCCGAGACATGCTCTCCCAAGTTATGCCATCTCTGCTCCCAATCTAAAGATATGAAAAAATGACTTGGAGCTGCGTTGTCCCATCGCCATTTCATTTTATAACTTGTTTGAGCCAGGTGTCTACGAAACGCAACCAAACGGTGTTTCCAAAATTCCAACCAATGGATTTATGGATTTATAATTATCGCGCGAACACCTCAGCTCATCTACACATGTCTGTGGTGAGTCCACCTAGACGCTTTTCATTTTATCATGAACTTTTATTCTTTCAATCGGTTTCATCCCAAAGGGACTTGTTAAGCATTGCTTTTTACCCGCAAAACACAATCTTTCTATTGTTCCACATTCACTGCGCGAAGTCCAGCGGAGCCTGCGCGCTGCTAAGGAAGCTTGGTGAACTAGTAGGGTTCAAGAAATGGAGAACGCGGGAGTAGTAGACAATTATCGCAGGCTCTTACAGCGGATCCCCACCAGTGGTTCCTGGAAACCAATCATCAGCGAGACACAGAGACAGCGCGTGTGCCTAGATTCACAAGTAAAGATGCCGTGTGGCTCGTTGAGCAGTTCAGTTGGCTCTTTGCTCCCGGACCACTTCATACTCAAGTGGTGCAATCCGAGCTATTGCCGCGTTAGTTTATAGCCTTCATCGGAGGCTTAGGTACGAAATGCGATCACAACACTTACCCGTTTTCAAGCTACTGGCCCAAGTTCCCTAGTATCCGCACTAATTAAGGATGATAGTGAGATCCTCTGCAAAGCGCTGATCTTCCTGTTTGAACAGCTCTCGTAGGAGCAGATCATTCTAGCTATCTGGAGTGAGTCGATCATAGTGCCAATATACAGCGTGCTAGCTTAGCGCCGGTGGTGACAAAATTACTAGTCTCAATTCTCATTCGTCGACTCAGTGCGGAAAGTGAAGGCCGGATTAGTGAAGGTCAGGCAAGTTTCTGTCCAGCGCGTAGCTGTATAGACCACATATTCACTCTGCGGTACTTGCTAGAGCAGCGTCACATGTACGGCAGGCCGACAATAGGTACGTTGCTGTACTTCAAGAGAGCGTTCGAAGCAGTCGACTGATGCATTCTGTACGAAATACTTACGCGGAAGTGTGCTCCCATGAAATATGTGAGCATCTCACGTGCTCTGTAGTCAAACACTAGGGGCCGTGTCAGTGTCTACGGTGACCTGTCGGATATCCTCCCGACAACAAGTGGCGTTCGTCAGGGTTGTCTTATCTCACCACTTCGTTCAAATTCATCGTAGACTCTGTCGTGGAGTGTGTCGTTGCGGAATCTTACGATACGATCGAGACAATGTTGCATAATGAGTAGGTGGTTGATGCTTATTTTGCAGACGATATTGTCCTGCTGCTTAGCGCTGTTGGAGCAGCCCAATCAGCTCTTAGTAGCCTCTCTAGAGTGGTCCCATTAGTTGGCATGCACTTCGCACCTTCAAAGTGTTGTTGCAAGACAACCAGCTACTTGATGACCCCTTGACTCTTGATAACGAGGAACTAGAGGTAGTTGATCCTTTCGCTTAACTTGGCAGCTGCACCAGAAATGAGTGGCGCATTCCCACTGAAGTCAGTTCACGTATTGCGGAAGCTAGAACTGTTTTCTTAAATCTACGTCATCTGCGCTGTTGGGCACAGTTTTCCCTTTACCATAAAACCTGGTTTACAAGGCCACGGGGGTGAGCTTTCTACTCAACCGTGGTGAGTCTTTGCCCCTACGGTTTGAGGATCAAATGCATCTTCCAGTCTACCGAGCACCACTGGCGTCGGAGGGCACCAGCTTGTGCGCAGTGATGACGTGCGTAGGCGGCTGCTAGTCCTTGATACCGGAGCTTGTTCCTTAAAACAACCGATAGCACTTATTTATGTGGGTTTATTTGAGCACGTCCTACCTACGGCTAGTCACCGCTTACCTAGACGGGCTTATTTAGTCTGTCAGATATAGGGCGACGCAAGGCTCGGGGTGGACAAAGTTAACTTGGCAGTGGGAAATGAAGTCACTAACGACCATACTTCGTGCCGTCGGTCCGTCTGGCCTTCCGGGCTGTAGTATACTTGACTTGTCTTGTGCTTGGCTCAAGACTTTAAAAGACGTGGTTCGTAGGCAACACCAGTGGCGCGTCTGCTACCTTCTCCTAGTGGGACTGCTCGTTTACTGTGTTCGGTTTTTGGCTATCTGTGGGGTGATGACTGGTTATTACGCGAGTTTGTGAAAGCCGCAAGGAAGCTGCCTCGCCGATGCCGCCATATCTTTGCACGATAGCCAGCTGTTTGTGACGGTATGTTGTTGATGTGGTGTGGCCTCCTCAACCTTGAATGTTTGCTTAGCACATTAAGGTCCCGCTACTCTCCCACTTATTATTCTTATTCGTTTCTTAGGTCACTGTGACGTACGGCTGCGAAGCAACAATCCAATTGCCTGATGTAATGTTGTTGACGATTCTGATGGCTTTTGCTTGGTAGCAAGATCTGGCGCAGTACGAAAAACTATGGTACACCTAGGTAGCAAAAGATATGGTAATCCACGGCTAATACAAGTGACTGGAGAGAAGACATAAAGACACAGTACAAAAGCAAACACATTTCCTCAATACCATCTAGAGGGTAAACCGGTACGATCGGCCGGTTTGGGTTCATTTAGTGCAGAGTTCACCCAGAGGCAGTCAATGCGGTGTATCACTGAATGTAAGACATGTGCCCTTTGGCGAATTCACTCAGTGACACCATAACTTCACGCCACTTGTTCACTCAACCGTCCATGAACCCTTTCGTATTCATGAGTCGGGTGCCTGCCAGAGTGTCCAAAGAGACGTCTCTTTCTCGATCTGTGCCACTTGTGAGCAGGTCTGAAGCGCCGAAGGTAAGTGATACGACGGCGGAAGTGGTTCTCAAAATCGGGTAGTGGGAAGCGGAGCCAGTCATCAAAATCGTCGTATTCTGATAGCACATGTTTTTTATCGTATTTTGGAAATACATACTTTCCGGTATTTCCTATTTTTTTCGATTGTCGGGTACCCGGGATTGCTCTGGGGATGATGTAGAATGATCCGGGTTGAGGTAATAAACGGTTCGTGGAATACGTGCTAACAATAGGAGGCAGAACCGATGTTCTTACAGTTTTCAACGTGATTGAGGGAGTTGTTACTGACACGGATCTGGTTGCATCAGGAAGTACACTGGTTCCTGCCATAGTTCGTATACCAGAGAGGATATTCTGTCGAACAAATGTAGTTGGTAGAGAAGATGTTGATGGCAGGCTTGTTGTACTGATGGTGTTCGTGGGATCATCCACTAGTCCATTTTGCAAGAGGCTGTCTGAGGAGCCGTAGACCATAGGCCGGAAAAACTGTTGGGATTGAGTTGCGGATTGGTCGAAAACTGGAGCCAGTGCCTCCACAGTTCTTTCCGACACACTGGATAGAAGGGCATTGTTAGTGGAACCGGACCTAGTGGATATGCCCTGTGGTACGGATGCAACGAACGTGTTCGTCCCTTGTCCAAGCATGTCTGACATTCTGGTAGTCGTGTCTGTTTGCCAAAAGTTTCCTGTGCGTTGGCTTCCTAGCGTGACAAAAGCTGGACTGTTCACAAGGGGCACGGAAGACTGAAGTGGTGCTGCTTGTGTAATATCCAATGAGACCGGCAATGTGCTTGATATAACATTTGTTGTAGATATACCAGCCAGTGAGGCCGGGAGTTCCATTAGCTGAATTGTAGGGAAGGTGATTACAACATCACAGGTCAAGATTATTAGATGAGTGTAAAGCTTCCACATGGCCGACCACTCCTGACATTCACCTTGAGCTAAGCTGGATCAGCTGGATTAGAAGCGGGAATAATTAAGCTGACTGTTGCTCACGCAAGCTTGCTATCGTGTTCAGTGGGGTACAGTGAACACCGTTCTGTGTGAACAAGGCTGATCGGTCACAGAACAATCAATATTACTTTTTGACCAACTAGAGGCTGTCGATACTGTAAGCAGTACTCGACGTTCTATCTGCATCACTGGACTTCGGTCGATAACCGAGCAGCCCTTAGGAGCCATTTCACTGCATTCTTAAATGTTACCTAGATGGACTTTGTTGGCCCACCCGTCATCATCACTCAGCTGAATAATTGAAAATCCCCATCATTTCCGACACAGTATGAAGAGTGAATCCAGACACAATCGGGGATACGGACACAAGGGGCTTTCGATTATGGAACAATGGAACAATGGTTTATTACGGGTAAAAAAGCATCGCTTAACAAGTGCCGTGGGATGGAAATTATTGCCAAAATCAATTACATAATAAAGTGAAAAGCATTGTGGTGGACTCACCATAGACTTATGTGGAATAGCGGAGATGTTCGCGTATTAAACGTATAAATCCATCAATCCATTGGTTAGGCGTTTCGCAAGACACCGTTTGATTGCGTTTTGTAGTCCCTGGCTAACAAGTCATAAAATGAAATGTAAGTGAGACAATGCATCGTCAACACGTTTTTTAAATATAGCCAGATTGGGAGCAGCGACGACATAATCAGGGAGGGCGTTCCAAGGCTGGCACACGCGGAGAGAAAAGGAATTTCTACGGCATTCAAGCCGGCTATAATGAATTGTCAGTTTCAGTGGGTGACCTCTTAGTTTAGTGTTGTGGTTCAATTCCAGCAGCGGACGGCAAATGTGATTTGGGTTCTTCAGAATCTGGTAAACCATTATGAGATCATTTGAAGGATGTTTGTAACGTAGTTTCGTAGAAGGCAGAAGTCACGATTAAACTCCACACGAGATCCCTCGCAAAAGCCGATATCGACTGCTGTACATTCTTAGAGATTTCAGTCTAAGCTGATAGGGCAGATGAAAGAGGCCCCTGATGTTCTTGGTTGCCCTTCGTTGAGGAGTCTCGAGAGCAAAGAGATCCTGTTTCTGCCACGGCTGCCACGCCTGAATAGCATATTTCACGTGAGGTCGCACGTAGGCGTTAAGCATTTGGGGAAATATTGATGGTTCAAACCGACCGAAGGCTCTGCGAAGAAGGCCGAAGTATTGATTTCCGGTTCTCCTCGCCTTCTCTGCTTGTTTTGAACACCCGAGATCTTCCTGTACCAATACACCCAGGTCACGCTCCTGAGAAACCTTCGCCAAAGTGTGGTCTCCAATCTTGTAAGCGCTCACCGGCTGGTGACGCAGATGCATCACTTTGCACTTAGCCATGTTCAATTGAAGCTTGTTCCTCTTTGACCATTCGTAGATGCAATCTAGGTCATGTTGGAGCAGATCCTGATCTGCCTTGTTACTAATGGCCCGCCATATCTTGACGTCATCGGCGAAAAGCAGGAAGTTTGAGGAGATGACTCTTGCCAGGTCGTTGATAAACACCAGGAATAAACGCGGTCCCAGCACTGAGCTTTGTGGGACACCACATTTCATCTCAATTGGGTTAGAAGGTGATCCCCTAACACGTACTTGAAGCTTTCGTTGGTAAAAGAAGTTGCCAATCCAACCAAGTACAGGATCTCCGATTCCGTAACTTTGTAGTCTGAAATAGGATGCGGTGATCAAGGCGGTCGAAAGCTTTGGAGAAGTCCAGATAGATGACGTCGACTCCGACCCCATCATCGGCCACTTCCGTCCAACTACCTCGTGCAATAAGTAGGTTGGTGTTGACGGAAGCCATGCTGTTCCAAGTGCTGTGTACAGGTGCCCGTGTCTGAACAGTCAGCATACACCGGTGTCCGGTGCTTAGTAGCTAAATTGATCTCATTTTGGTGGACACCCACCATCATCATTATCATTATAAACGTTAGCTAGAGGTGGGAAACACCTCAGCTACTATGCCGCAATACCTAAAAGAAAAAGAGAATAAAATGCAACAGGTGCAAGCCAGCTGAGCTACCGGTAACGGATGGGTATCGTTCCGGTTATCTACCTACCGGCTACTATGCAGCAGAAAAAATAATTTACTGTGCAAAAGTATAAAATGCTAAGTAATGAGATCGTCGTTGGATAGAAGGCTAAAAGGGATGGGCAGGGACAAAGAAACTCACAGCACGAACGCCACTGAGGTCGGCCCCTAGCCATATCAACCAGTGTATCCAGCCAAACATGTTCATCGTCTTTCGGACCCCAACCAGGGAGCCGTGAAGCTCCAACTGAGGCCAACTTCAAAGTGAGAGGGCCTCTGGACCAAGTCATCGCTTGGCTACTTCTCATCTTCTTCCATCCACACCCCCGGCGTGCAAACAACGCACGTCGCGGGAGTCAGTGGGCTGGCATGCGTAACACGTGACCGAGCCATCGGAGCCTGGTGCGTGAAATAACGGTGCTGAGCGGTTCATTCCCATTTCCTGTGGCCTAAACACGGCGTCGAACAAACTCGTTGTTAACTCGGTGTTCCATCCGGTGGTCGAACCTAACTAGCCTCTTTACGTCTGCTGATGTAAGGGCCCAGGTTTCACAACCGTACAGTAGGGTCGAACGTACCGCTACATTGTACATTTCACCCTTCAGGGCGAGAGTGATGTCGCGCCGGCGCCATAAGTGGCGAAGGTTAGCAAAAGCGTCTCGAGCTTTTGCTATGCGGTTCGTGATCTCATCTTCATTCACCATAAGGGTGGTTTAATTCGAATGAACTGGCGTATGCTTGGATCACGGTCACCAGCACAGTGTTCCGATTGTGGACAATTGTGGTGTTGCCTATCTGCAAACTTGATCTGTACGACCCATTTTATGCTTGTCTGCGCTCTTCAAATAGTCAAACAGAACACGTTCAGAACATACACCAGATAATAAAAATCTCAGGAATGTGTAGTTAACCACCAGTAGTAATAAGGAGTTGAGATCAAACGGAGTAAAAATTATAAATACCCGTAGAGTACAAACACGGGTGAAGACTACATGGGGTGTAGGCTTGAGTATTGCCGTTGGTCGAAGCAAGTCAATTGGATTAGCTTTTATTAACAAAATCTGCAGTGTATTAAGTTGTCACTGGTGTCTCCTACTGCTCATTTGCGAGCCCCCCGGGGGTTACATCCACTTGTTAACCAGTCGTGGGGTTGAGACCTAATTGTACCGAAAATGACAACAGAATACATAGTTACACACAAGGAAATCGCTGTCCAAACGAAGATGGTTTGCCACATTCTACACCTCGAGCGCGTAACCGTAATCTCAAAGCGGACACCATCAACGATTAATTTGGCGGTACGCTGCAGTTTAACGTGTGAATGAGACAACACGTATCCAATGGAGGATTCGCTTAACTTGTAAACATACCCACACGATTGTACTTCGAAGCTGTTGTTGCCATCAAAATCCAATAAAGTCTACGCGCATTACTCAGTGCCTTTTGACCATCTGTCTAGCCGTAAAAACTAGAGGCGGCTTAATGAAAGATCCACAAGCAGCATATAATAGGTCAGCCCATAGTTAATACCGACATGTTGCTCCGCTTCATCGCAACTAGACTAGTTCCAACTATCCTGTTTTTGTGGCCTATACACTTTCAAAGTTGGATTTGGATTACCTGTCATGTGGTTGGATTGCGACACGCAACCTCTGCTGTGATCTCAGGTCACCTCGAAGCAGACCTCGGTCATTCCGATCAAAAAGATCGTATGCGAAATTCCATCGCAATGAAGCTGGACCTTACCGTGGTGCGATCCATTGAGCTATGCTGAGTGGTGCTTTTGCACCTTCAGAGTCACTCATACCAGATTGGTCAATGGTTAGAGGCCAGACAAACTCAGCCTCCTGGTCCTCCAGGTTGGGGGTTGGAATGAGGGTGGCACCTTATTCCTTAAAATGGACTCCTTGTAGCCCACGGCCAAACCGGCTGCCTTGCAGTCAGGTTTTTGAACCAAAGGCTTTGGTTGAGAACCCTAATCGTTTTCCTGTCTAGGTCTGGGCAACCTGACAGTATTCTGCGCACGCAACACCATGAATCTTACTTCAAACAATTTCTTGATGCTCTGGCCACCACAGAGGATAATAAACGGTGCCCTATCTGCTGCATCGAGCAGGGTGGATAGGGGTTTGGATGCTACTGCTCAAGCCTTCCCGTCTTCTTATTCCCCCTCTTACGCTTTTTCACTCTTACGGTCCCCTTCCAACTTCACTTATATCCCCCCAGTTTTCAACCCCCCGATTCTTGGCCCTCTCCCAACATGCTTCGCTAGGCATTTACCTTCTAATTTCAACTCACATTGGCTCACACCTGGTGGGAACACTGCGTGAGTAACGAGCGTGTTCGACGCCTTGTTTACGGCCCAGGAAAAGGGAATGAACCGCTCAGCATCGTTATTTCCCGCACCAGGCTCCGATGGCTGGGCCACGTGTTGCGCAAGCCAGCCCACCGACTCCCGCGACGTGCGTTGTTTGCTCACCGGGGATGTGGGTGGAAGAAGAGGAGAGGTGGCCAAGCGATGACTTGGCCCAGAAGAATGAAGTCCCTCACTTCGGATCTAGCCTCGGTTGGAGCTTCACGGCTCCCTGGTTGAGGTCCAAAAGACGGTGAACACGTTTGTCTGGATACACTTGCTGACATGGCAAGGAGCCGACCTCAGTGGCGTTCTTGCTGTGAGTTTCTTTGTCCCTCCCCATCCCTTTTAGCCTCCCCCTCCATCTACGATCTCATTTCATAGGGTAGAACATAATAAAAAGTTTTTGCCCAGTAGCTGGCTGGTAGCTTACCGGAACGATGCCTATCTGTTGCTGGTAGC